GCACTGTCCTCGTAGCATTATGGAAATCGGATAGTCAGATGCCACAGTGCTAATCTGGTGCCATCATTCGAAAAGTCGTACTGTGAGGCACGACAAAGTCAAGTTACCAGGGTTTACGCACTTGACCTGTTTCACTTCCCCACAGCTGCATCTTATTGAAACCCAGCATCGAGTGACTGCGCTTTTGCAGTCGTGTGTTTTAAAACACTTTGTCCTACATGTTTGCCCGAATGCACCTTTTAGGCAAGCGGTAGTCTGGAAACGCGAATTTCGTTTCGGGACAGACGTCGTCTGCCCCCGAGGAGGAAGTGTACTTCATGCATGCATAGCCCTGATCACTCTACCCCATTCATAATGCGACCCACAAAGAATGCCCTCATCTAACCAGTCTATTTACTCCAAGGGAGTGGAGGCCGAGACGGAAGAGGGAAACGCCCAATCCTTCCACAAATTCGGTTCGTACGAGCGCCTTTAACCCATTGCAGAATTATAACACTTACCAAATTTACACAAAACATAAGCGAAAGTGCTCGTCACTTCACGTGACAGCAAACCTGTCAGTTTCGCCAACGTAGAGCCCAGATGGGGTAACCCTTCCACAAGGTGGTTCAACTTACGTGAAGATACGCCAATTTATGACGAAGTTTGGGAAATATATGCAATCTAGACGGAAGAGCACATCAAACCATGCGCCAGTCATCAACACGGTCAGATGGTTTTGCAACCTCGGCCAACTTTGCAGTAATTGTAGTTCCCTTCAACCAACCTGAGCGCATTCACACCTCTCGCTTGCGCGGATCCCATGACATCCCGAGGAATGGGGTGGAGATAACACCATTACCCACTGCTTACTGTTAAATACACCAATAACCATGCCTATGGCCATTTGACTCAGCAACCGCAATAGCACACGAACCGCAAAAATAAGTAACATGAACACTAAGTACAGTAATTACTCAGCCATGGAATACCCCTAAACACGGATTGTGAGCCAAAGGCAAATATCTACCATAACTTTGGAGCAACAGAAGCAACAATATCATGAAATCAACCACCAATACAGGCTACTTAAGCTTCGTTAAAAAACCACACATTTATTCATGAATTATAAGAACAGAAATGAGTTATCCTACGAAAATACTCTGGTCAATTCAGTAATGAGCACAAGCATACACAGGCATAGGCAACCG